ACCACTTGGCATAGTATCACAATCATGCACAAGTCAAAGCCCAAGTGGATCATATGACGGCACTTGTTCTAGTATATCTGCGAGCAAAGTAACAACGAAATCAAGATCAAAGCCCTTATGACACATATGAAACCTAAATACCTAGGCTAGATCTAGGTTGGAGAGAGCAAGTCATAGGGTGAGCAATCTAGTGTTAAGAACGTGAGTCACTCGATGAAAGGTTTTAAAATGCTCCAAAAGCATGGTCCAGGCGATCAGGTGAAAAAAGGTTTAGAATAGTCTAGAGACAAATTAGGTGCACAGGCACAAAATGTTTAGAAGAGGTCGGACACGGGCATTATAGCAAGCGTTGTAGTGCCAAGACGGGGAAGATTTTGGAATGCCCCAACAACAGGCATTGTAGCACCCAAGCAAAAAAGGTTCTGAAAGCCTCTAGGTACGAATGTCACGGGTCGAGACTTAAACTCTGAACCCGCGCGGCTCCAGGACCCAAGCATTCACCTTTTCGGCATCCCGAATCAGTCCGCTCTGGCCCCCCTGGCCTCACGATTTGTCTTACAAAAGGTGCCTCACAAGGCGGAGGTGGTGTGAACCTTTATATACCCTAGTGACCCTCCTATTATGTTTGATGTGAGATTCAGGACTCTTCCTTAGGTCCGTGACATTTTCCCGCACCTAATCTCGTGACGCCCTCGTCACGGAGGCTGACCACCCTACCTGCCTCCCTTGAGGTGCTTGGCGTAGATCGAACGGTTTAGGGTTGGCTTTGATACCACTTGTCACAGGTCGAGACTTAAGCTCCGAACCCGTGCGACTCCGGGACCTGGGCATTCACCCTTCCAACGTCCCGAATCAGCCTGACCGTCATGGTTTATACCTTTGTGAAGTATTGTCCGCTCTGGCCCCTCTGACCTCACGGTTTTATCCTACAAAAGATGCCTCATAAGGCGGAGGTGGTGTGAACCTTTATATACTTCAGTGACCCTCTTATTATATTCGATGTGAGATTCTGGACTCTTCCTTAAATCCGTGACATAAGCACTCAGCACTTAACGAAATGAATTGGGCCCTTCCGAGCCTAGTGCTCAACAGAGAGTCTAGAACCAACAAATTTTTTAAAAGACCTTAAATGACCTAACATCAATCTAAGAGCCTTGAAACAATTTAGAAGGCTTGTAATAGCCGCACATTTAGAGCTTTAGTGTGATAGGCGGATCCTTTCAAGAGCCTAGCTATGGCCCCAAAAATTTTAAATTTTTTTATACATGTTATTTTTATAATAAATTTAAATTTATTTATAAAAAAAATTAGTTTGGCCCCTCGAATTTAAATTTATTGTATTGATATATATAAATATATATATATATTTTTTATATATTGTACTTACTGTCTTGAGTATGAAAGTTCGAATCATCCTGCTCTTTTGAAATTTGTGTGATGGCGGTTATGTCTAATTTCAACCACCTGCACATGACAATATCTACTATGGTTTTTTTTCTTTTTTCAGTTCTATTTAATATTCATGGTCAAATCATCTATGCCCCCATTATATCTGATTAGGCTTGCCTGCTTTTGGCTCGACTCAAGTGGATAAAATTTTTTAAGTTTGGATTTAGCTTGTGAAAATATTTTATCATTAAATAGTAATTTTTATTTTAATAATAAATTTAAATTAAACGTGTTTAAATGAACTTTAATTAGTGTGTTGGATCGGATTTTGAACAAGATTTTAGACAATCACATTCGGTTCTGTTCATGAACACTTCTATCCTCATCTAACAAAACTAAACTATTACCTTTTCTCAATTTGCAAATTCTTGTAATTTATCTTTCAACGTGGTAGGAGAAACCATTGTTTCATTGAGAGTTACAGTACTCACAAAATAACCAAGGTTAGGAAAGCAAGGCATATTTCCTCTACGAGTTGCATTTACAGAACAGGGTTGGAAGCGGGTTCATTTCTATTTGTGACCATTTTGATGAAATAAATTACAGAGTGGGATGCCAGTTCATCTCTTTTTGTTCAATTAATTTGTACAATGAAAGCCAGTTCACCTTCTCATATTAGAAAATGAAAAAAATGATCCATGCATCATATATAGGAAGTACATTCATAAATGTTTCAAGTAATATCATGACTTTTATCATTGTGCCCAAAAATGGAGAATCCATTGGATATATAAACCTGGCTATGTGCACATGGAAAGAGCACATGTTAATTAAACATCCCTTTGTCAAAAGACTAGAAAAATTGTTCCAAGCTTCCCTGGCTTTGAATTTGTAAAGCAAGAAATATAGGGAATATGGGTTCAAAATTTGCTCAGTTGTTTGTGTCAGTATTGATGCTATATATTAAGTCAATTGCTTTCTTTAGCTGGTAAAAACTTTTCTCTTTATATTATATTATTATTATTATTATTATTATATATGATAATTTATATATTTGTGTTGTATTTGTTTCATATCAAATATGTATAAAATATAAAAATTATTGTATCATAATTTATATTGACATATCGAACATAAAATATATATTTTTTTATTTTTTTAAAATTATATATTATTTTTATTTAATTTTTAAATCGTATCATTTTCATATATATATATATATTTATTATTTTCGTGTTGTGTCACGCATCACATTAAAAATAACCGGATCTCAATATGGCATAAAACATGCAGCAAAAGCATACACAAAATTAGACTCTATTTTCAATTTTTATTCTTCATTCCATTTTATCTTTTACTTTGCATCACTATCATTTGATCCTAAAGTTATAACTAATATGCTATAATGTAACAGATGCCCGCAATGTTAGTGTTTGCTAAGGTCTAAATGGAAATAATCTTCCATCTCCATATGATGTAATTAACCTTTACAAAAGAAGTCAAATTGACAATGTCAGGATCTATCAGCCTTACCCTGAAAGTGCTTGAAGCATTAAAGGGATTAGGGCTATCCGTCAAGATTGGTCCAAAACATGAGGACATAGCGAGCTTTGCAGTGAATCAAGATGCAGCCAATGCATGGGTTAACACAAACATCGTCCCTTACAAGAATGATGTTCCTTTCAAATGTATCACCATAGGTAACGAAATCATTCCAGGACCACAGGATTCAAATGTTCCTGCTACCATGAACAACATACGAAATGCAGTTGCCTTAATCGGGCTAACCGGGGTTAAGATCACAACTGTACTTCCTACAACTGCACTGGGAGCCTTCTATCCTCCTTCGGCTGGTGCTTTTGGAAGTGATATAACAGCGACCATGACCAGTATTGCTCCCACTCTGGCTCAACAGGATGCACCCCTTATGATCAATGTGTAGTTTACCCTTACTTTGCCTACTCCTCAACCCTACTCATATTTCCGCTGAACATGCGTTGTTCATTTCCACTACATCAGGGGTGATCGATGGAATCTTGAAATATTATAACCTCGTTGATGCCATGTTCGATGCTTTCAATGCTGCCCTGGAAAAGGTCAACTTTGGTAATGTAAAGCTTATTGTAGCCGAGACTGGATGGCCAACTGTAGGAAATGCACCTTACAAGAGTGTGTCAAGTGCCCAAACTTATAACAAGAACCTTTTGAATCATGTAATGCAGAATGGGACTCCAAGAAGACCTGACTGTATCATGCCGACATTTTTCTTTGAAGTGTTCAATGAAAACTTGAAGAAATATGCAGTTGAGCTGAACTTCGGATTCTTCTTCCCCAATATGCAACCTGTCTATCCCCTTGGGTGTTTGAATGTTGTTGTTGCCTCTTTAGTCTTTTGCCAGAGAAGTTCATGTAGTTTTCCCTTAAGATAAACTGGATGGTTAGTTTAAACAATACGCTATCTTTTGTGATGCAATAGTGGAAGTCTTTCTTTCTTTTTTTTTTTTTTTTTGTGAACTTCATTTATGGATTATCATTGTATCCAACAAATTTTCTTAATTTTCTTACTTTAAATTTGAATTGTGTACTATTTTTCTCAATTTGAAAAAATTGAGTTGGCCTCGCAGGCCCATACTCGATACTTCCATGGTATGCTTAAAAACTAGTCAGCATAATGAATCTGAAGCTTAATTTAGATAGTTCACTCACCCCTTAAGAGTTGGATTCCCACAAAGTTTTATCTTCAACACTTGCATTCCACTTCCCCTTGGACTCAGGCCCTTTTGTACCAAAAAAAAACCGAATAGATGGCATATTGCTAGAAAGACCCGGATAAAAGCAGGAAAAAGGCGGTCTGTAACGAGAACTTTTTGTATTTATCCATATAAATCATGTCTCAGGATTAAATGGGTTTCCAAATTAAGAGGACACGCCAAATATTCAATGCATACTTTTTTGAAATGTCTAACTCAAAACCCAGCGGCTTTTTAAGGATATGGGTTCTTCAAGTCAACCACGCAGCCCGAACATCAATTTTATTCGTTGCCTAGACTTGCTCTAAATATATGTATGGTTCATGGAATTGGCAGACAAGTTCATAGTAGAAATGGGTTCTTTTGTGGGATTGGTTGATATTCATGACAATGATCTTGCCAATGGCACACGACATTTAAGGTTCAATTAAAACTTTGATCTAAATTTAATCCTGCTGATTTCTCACTTTTTCCTCAGACGAGACGGAAATGATGTTGAATTTATAATTTATAAGACTTTCTCGACCTAATAGACAAAGTCTTTTGGATTTAAAATGTAAACCTATAATAAATGACATCAAAACCTATCAGACTCTTCACTGACGTAAGATTCCATTAAAATTACCAAAATCAAAGTAGACCCAAATCAAGATGAATCCTATTTTCCATCAAAGTTGCAGTGCAACCTGAACATTGCAAAATTGAGTGAAATAAACAATCACAAATTCCACCTAAGAAAAGGTGAAAATGATTTTAAACTTGTAAATCATGAGTTTTTTTCTTCTATCATCTAATAGACATGTACCGCTCGGTCAAAAAAAAAAAAGAAAAGAAAACATGAACTAAACTAAAAATGGAACTTTTTTATTTCTTTTTTTTTTTTTAATTTCCGTGAAATTGACCAAAAACACCAATAAGCTATTTCTTGTAAAATTGAACCCTCTGAAAAGGAAAAGAAGAACAGGACGTAATACCCCAGGAAACAATGCAACTTTCTAGCATCTTCCTTCCCACAGCAGAAAAAACATCCCCCCATCAATCTTTCCCTAATCCAACCTTAGAAACCTAAAAAATTCTCTGTTACAGGCGGGCAGGACTTTTTGCACTATTTGCAAAATGCACCCTCGAACCAAAACCCACCCCTTTCCATACCCAACTCATCAGCTTCCTTTCAAACAGAAGACATCACAAAAGCGATAAACTTGCGGGGAAAAAAAAACTAAGCATCTGTAATAAAAATTTAGAACCTCTTTGGATTTACTATGCAAGGACATAGAAAAGTCAAGCTTCAGATCCAAAATCAGATGAGCTCAATTTCAAAGAAGCTCCATCCAAATTAGTTGCAAAAGATTGAGCCAGCTTTGGCTGCATGCCGCTGCACAGTTTCAGAGACGGCCTCAGTTTCATGTACTGCAAAACCAAATGACTAGATAAAATAAGCAAATAGCATACAAAATAAGCCAAAAAAAAAAAGAAAAAAAGAAAGGTATTTGTTACCTCCTGATAAAAAGCATTAATTTCCTCTTCTGTAAGACCTTCATCCTCACCAGAGTTTTCTTCCCAGCCAAGAGAACGAAGGAATGCAGCCTCTTTCTCATCTGGATAAACCATAGAAGTGGAGCTCATATTCTTTTTACAATCAACAGAAAATCTTTGAGCCTCTTGACAGGTGTCACCATTGCTAGTTGCTGCAGTACCATTCTCATTAGAATGAGCAGTCACAGAAGCACTGCCTACTTCTTTTGTAACTTCAGATTTCTCTGTGGCGGAAGATGAAATATGAGGGTCTGTATCTAAGAGACCAGCAGAAGTGTTTGTCGAGGTCTTCTTCTTCAGGAGATTAAAAAAATCATTTCGGCTCTGGGTTTGAGCCAAAGAAGGTCTCTTTTCCACAGCAAACTCAGCTATTGGAATCATGGCAGCTGCCTTGCGTTCCCCAGAAGAAAGCTTTGGGTTGTTTGAGCTTCTTGCAGGAGCAGATGTAACAGGAGCAACAGCATGTTGGCTAGTTGTAACTCTGCTGATCCCATTTGTTGTTGGACTAGCAACATCTTTTTGAGTAGGGGATGAGACCCCATTCTCCCATCCTGGTTTGAGAACCAAAAGCTTCCCAGATGTCTTTGGCATATCAGACTTGACATGTCCGCTATAAGGAGATTGATTACCATGATGAATCAAAGAAGGTTGCTGCTGTCCACTCTTGACAGCTATATTCATTTCACTTGTCCTGACTGCTGGTTTGGCTTTTGATTTATCCACTGAATTGAGAACCTGGTACAAAAAATTAGGTAACTATTACCTGGAATTTCTAAGTATTAAATAAATGGTTCCTTTATCCATGCAATAGACAGGTAATGCACAGAAAAACAGAGCAACTTCAGGAACACTTCATAAGCAGACAGCACACTAGCTAACTTCAGTTAATCTTGGCATTTCAAAATCCCTTGAAAATGTACAAGAACAGTTATAATTTAATCACAAGTCTCTACCAGGAAAGTCACATGATAAATAGAAGTCCTCAAGAACTTCACACCAAAATCCAGCATAAACAAAGCCAGGGTGGAAAAAGAAAAAAAAAAAAAGGCTTCCCTAGGTAGTGGAAGCATAGATTGTCTTGCATAACATTTTTTAAAGTTCTAATCCGTCAAGAATATAGCAATTAGGTTCTTTCAAAAGTTCTCCTTTTCATCAATTGACTCTATTTATTTGATAATACCGATCAAACCAAATGCATGAGAACTAATGAGTTTCTTTCCAAAATTTCATTCTTGTCTTTCAATAATAATAATCGCAGAAGATGATCAACAATCTCAACAAACTTGAGACAAAAATAATGTAATTCCATATCCACCCTAATTAAAATTTGCAACAACTTAAGGCAACATTTTATATCTGCAATATACTCTGAACTTCAAGTTTATGAAAATCATAAGTGCCAGAGAAGATTATCACCAACGGTAGATTTAATAAAATTCAGAGCGTTATGGAACCTGCTAAATCAACTAATAATCCATATCAGATAAAACAACAAAAATGTCAGGATAGTACACTTGATAAAAAAAAGTAAGGTGAAACCTACATACATGCAAATATAGAAAGGCTAGGGAGGGAGGGAGCAAACAAGTTAGAGGGGGGCAGGAGGGACAGGAAAAGAAAGTGCCATTAGTGCCAAAATTCCCATCAACATTACAATCAATCAAATTTTGGTTTGTTTTAAACGGTGGAAGGAACATGGCATTTAGGTGAACCCACCCACAAAGTTTTGTACCTTATGGAGAAAGGTCAAAGATCTTCATAGCCATGGAAACACACAGACCAACCACAAGCTCCTTACATATCATGGGAGTCAAGAAAAGTTACAAAAAATTCCAAGATAGTTGCCTAGCTTCTAACTTTAAGCTACAAAAAGAACACTAAGAGCAAAAGGGTAGGAGGATATCACAAATGAGAGGAAATGATTTTGATGCAGCAGGACAATGGATCAAGACCAACTTTGGAGGCTATATAATTTAGAGTTAAATATGGGGAAAAGCCCAGGATCTAGACAGAGAATAAGGGTTTTTGAGGAGGTTTGCAATAATATTCAATTGGAATAGAAAACTGTGGCTCTAGAGAGGTGTTTGGAACAGTAGTCTACAGCATAAACAAGTCTAATCATGAGCAAATATGAGGGGATTATCAATGCGGGTTTGAAGAAGGTTTAAGTAGAATTAAAAGATCATGCATAAGTTATATTTAGGTTTAATAGTTGCTGGAAATATAAGGTACAAGAAAGAAGATCTAGCCTTACACCTAAATTTCCTAGGCTAAAGAATGTTATGAAATAAAGAAAATAAATTTAGTTTTTTTTTTTTTAAATTAATCTTGACTTCTATTGCTGCACCTCACTCATATGAGAAGACTGACATTAAGACTCCAAAGTAAAAACTTGATTATTTTAGTATAATGGTCAGCATAATGCATCTCCAACCAAATACAGTATACTATTGTCATCAAGCAAATGTAAAGAGGAATTAGTATGATCAACAAAAAGAACATGCATCTCTTTTGTTTGATCAAAATTTTGGTTATGTTCCTTATTTGACTATTTGACTTAAAAAAGAATATGATCCAGTATAAAAGTACCAAAATAAAGCTTTCATGTAGCATATAAATCCTAAAAGTATATAGACAGGCATCAGATATAAACAAATATCCATCATACAATCTCTGATGAATACAGATGATGTACAGTAAAGCAGAAGGAAGGAGGGAGACCAAACTTATTTAATAGGACTAAAACTATAAACTTAATGCAGCCAATATACAATATTTTGCTGAAAGGTAAGGCAATTGGCTTACCGAACCCTTAGGCATCAAAGGTGTCACTGGTATTAGTTGCCTTGATTGCTTAATAGCCAGTTCCTCACGTCTTTGAGTCTTGACAGATAACTGTATGAAATAGAAATGTCCAGTTAGATCACAGATATAAGTTATACATGCAATATGAACTTAGTGATGGAGCCACTTACCTGGGGAGCATTAAGTGTTCGTGAAGGAGCTTGTGCTAGTGCTTCAGCCATATTAAGACCAGCTGTGACACTTGGAGCCCCAGAAACTATGGTGGAAACAGTTAGGGGGGCAGGCGAGGAACCTGTGCTACTACTTCCAACCACACTGGGCATTTCTGCCAGAGCCGAGGTCCATCTTTCCCCACCAATCAAAGCTGAATTACCAACAGGAAAACTCTGAGAAGATGAGCTCAAAGGAGAAGAAACTCTAGCTATCTCAGGCACCACTTGCCTCTCTTCAGTTCGAAGTGAGGGAAAATCTTTCTCAAACACAGCCTTGTGGATGCTACTTCCAATAGTACCCCCAGAAAGCAGACCATTGCCATTGTTATGGTTACTATTACCACTGTCTCCTGAATCCACCGCAATCCTTTGAGGCAAAGGCTCACCATGTTTCCTAGGGACCATAGAATGCGAACACCGCAATTTATCTATCTCAATCCTACTGGTCAAGCTATCTAATTTCTCAAACCTACTGGTTAAGATACTTTCTAAAGGGTCAGAAGAATCACCGTCCCAGTGGTCCCTAAAGCTCGACCTCTCTTTATCCCTTTCTGGATCCTTATTGCGGTGACTCCTACTAAAGCTACTGTAAGCATTCTTTGCATAACCATTACTTGAACTCCTCCGTGAATTCAACGAAGATGTCCGATTCAAAAATCCAGAACGAGGGGAATGAAAATCACTTATATTCCTAGAGTTTCTATGTCTTCCATGATGCACCAATGAAGAAACATCTAGTATAACAACATGAATACAGTTATTATACATTCCCAAAATGATAGACAAACATTCCTACAATGAAAACTATAAAAAATGGTAGTATAAATGCAATGAGAAACATAATGGGTTTGAAAAAAATGGGCATACCAAAGGCGTGTCTAACAGACAGATACATATCCAAGAGGAACATTGTAATGAAGTATAAATGGAATGAGAAATGCAACGGGTATTTAAAAGTTGGCGTGTCAAAGGTACCTGAGTGAGAAGAAGGGGAAGCAAATTGGTTGGCTGAATTGCCAACTCCAGTAACAGTGCCAGTATTTCTCAACCATTCTGGAACTAATGCCGGTTCCCTTTTTCCCATAAGGGATACTGAACATGATCATGAACAAAAAAAAAAAAAAAAACTTCTTCCAACCTTCTTCAAACCCTAACCCATCAAATTAATTTTCTTCCTACATAAACTCTCTAACTCTTACCATATCCTTCGTCATTCAAGCCACCAAGTTGCCAGTAATTTAATGGATTCAACGGTCAAAAGAAAAAAAATTAACATGAGTGTGAATCCATAGCAACGAAAACAAAGACAATGGCAATAAGGAGATTATATTTTAATTAACTCACTCCATCACTCCCTACTCCATCCAAAAGATGGATTTGCAAATTGCTGATTTCACAGTCTCATATGAGACTCGGGAAAAAAAATCCACTCTACAACTTTGACAAAAACAAAGGAAAAAAAACTATTCCAAAATAATATTAACGCCCATAAACCAGTTAAGTTAGGAAAAATAACCCTAAATAACAATAATTTTGGAGTAAAACTAAAAACCCTAGATTAAATTTTAATTATAAGTTCCAACTGCTAGGGTTTAACAACAAGAAAATTAAAAAAAAAATAGGGGAAAATTTAGAGAAATGATAAGAGTGCAGACGACAGAAAAGGGAGCGTACTAACCATAACCCCGCTAGGATTCCGCGCTATTGCCTCAAAAACATAACCGTTTTTCAAAATGACCGTCCCCTAAACCAAAAAATGTATTTCTTTTTCCGGGAAAAATATAAGGAATAAGAAGGAAAACGATGAAGTTTCAGTGAAAGGAAAGAAAAAAACGAAAGTGATGCAACAGAGAAAAGAGAGAAGAAAAGAAAGATTGCAAAATGAAAATTTCTTTTTTAAATGAACAAAAATTAGGGTTTGTTTTTCGTTTGTTTGAGGTTAGGGATGCAGGCGTATATTTTCTTTTCTGTTTGTTTTTGGAAACTGGGGAATGAAACGTCTGAAGAACAGTCTCCACCTCTCACAAAAAATAAAATAAAATAAAATAATTTCTATTTTTATTTTTATTTTTATTTTTAAAAAAATTAAAATAAGTGTAGGGGTTTTTTGTTTATTAATTATTTTTGCCATCAAATTATTTATTTATTTTTGTGAAATATTTTTATTTATTTATTTTGTGTACCCTTCAAACATTTTTTCGAGAAATTTTGGCTTATATATGATCTGCTGCTTTGCTCCGTAGTCTGCTTCGTCTGGGAAAGAAGGCTGAAAGGCCCTAAGTTGCTAGATGGCTGTTTTTGTCTATAATACTTCCATATCTTTATCTTAATCTTTTCTTCATTAATTAAATTAATTAGCTTTATCTTAATCTTCAAAAATACTTGGAAATTTAATTAAAATAATGTTTCAATAAAGTATCGGTAGCAATTAGGTTTGGTATGAATTTATGTCATATTTTTTATTAGTTTTATAATAAATATGAATTTTTTCGATACTTAAAATTATTGAAGATTAAATTTTTATAACTTAAATTAAAAATTCGTACAATATAAATACGGATATTTATCTTTTGCTACTACTAATATTTGACTTATGACCTAAATTAGTATATTCATGTGTGCTTTCTGCTTTTCTAATGGGTTAATATTATTAAATTAGAAAAGTATGCATCATTTATAATTACCAAATTTAAGAAATAAAATCATACTAGAAGAAAGAAATTGGTTAAAATAATAAGATAATTTTAAATTTTATCATTTCATTTAGATAAATTTTTATATTTTATTATACCTAAATAAGACTTTAGTTTTTACTTTGACCCAAATAAGTTTTTAAATTTTAATTTTTATCTAAATAAGCTTTTTTATTTTTTAATTTGTACTTGAATACATTTTAATATAAATTAATTTTTTATTTGAAATAAATTCAAAAATACAAATTAAAGCATAAAGATTTATTTGAATAAATAAATATATAAATATTTATTTAAATGAAATGATAAAATTTAAAAACTTTTTTTAGTGTTTTAGTCTAAAGAAATTTTACTAATAATTTAGCACATGATTAGTTATATGTAAATGTCATTCATTCTCTTTTTCTTTTTTTTTTTCTTTTTTTCCTCTTGTTTATTTTTTTAGCCACAAGATGAGCATGTAAAGGTTGTTGGACGATATTTACAATAAGTTTATTATGATAATTAATCCAAATTTGTATGTCCATTATTATTGAAATTATTATAATTTTTTTAATTTAAATATGATTTATTTTTCACATTTTGAATTTAAATGGCTCCAAAGTATTACTATTATTGTCAATTGATCATTTGATTATTTATCATGTATTTAGAATTGACAATTAGAAGTTATGGTTTCACAAAAATTTATATGCGTAATATTTTTTTCAATCAAATAAATTAAAAAAATAAAAATTTAAAGATAAATTAAAAATTTTAACAAAAATATCTAAAAATATATTATTTTTATTGCAAGTTCCTAATTTGTTGACATCTATCTTGATAAATCAGCTTTTTTTTTTAATCTAAGTCAGCATTATTTCTTACATGTCATTATGCTTTTAAATATAATTAAAATGTTAAGGAATGAAACTTTTTTTTAATTTAATGAAAAAATTTTCAAAACGAATCCTAATCAAGGGAGAATATCATGAGCCTGGCTCCCATCCTTTTGCATTCATTTTCTCCTAAATTCTATACTGGTTTTTGGTATTCTTAAAATAACTAAGGATGGGTAGTATTTATTTCATCGAATGGATATGAAAACAATTTCAGCCACATGATGTTGCTTCACTTTCTTTGTATTAAAAACACCCAAAGTGTTAGTAAAGACATCGGAAGCATTACCCAGAAAGACGGTTCAGTCTTATCCACAATTTGATCGTTTAAATCCTGCAAGTTTTTTTCACATTTTATTTTAGTTTTTTTTTTTGAATATTCACAACCTTTGTTGATTATAACCTGTTAATAAATAAAATTTATTATATTTTTTGTTATTCGGTATGAATTAACATTAATGTTTTAGGACATCATGATATTATAAGTGAGATAAATCTAGTTCCTTTATTAATTTCCTTCTTTTTTTTTTTCATTGCTGTTGTATTTTATACTTATTTTTCATTTATTAATGTTAGTAGTAATTGTTAGCTCAAGTATAGATAGTAATTCAAGATGAGTGAATTTGATTTCTTTTAAATTTTTTCCAAAAAATAACTTTAAATAAACTTGAATGGAAAATTAAGTTCAATATAAAAATGTGATGCAATTAATAATAATTAATGAGTTTTTAAGCTAACATAAACAACAATTAAAGTAAATAGAGTAGAGATAGAAAAATTAAATATAAAAATTTCGATCTTTTTTCTAAAGAACCTATATCCTCTACTTTAGCCTTATTTGTCAAAGATTCAATCCACTCCTTAAAGAAACTCTTACAAAAAGCAATCTCTATCTTTTAAGACTTAAATAGTAACATTTACCTTTTATAAGATTCTACCAAATCCTATCACTCTTACTCAAGATGATACATCATCTCTTACTCTTTAATCTCCCTTTGTATACCAAAAGTTTTTGCAAACAATGAAATAATCTCTCAATACTAAGTGTTTACTAAGATTAAGTACAAAAGATGAGAAATGAACAACAGATGAAGTTTGTGTACAAAAATTACAATAAGAATATGGAATTTAAGCAGTACTAACTTTAAAGCTCTTGATTTATTGAGAGATTGAATATAGAATTTGTTGGTGCTCATCTTTCTCTTAGCTTCATTGGTGTGTTGGAATTTTTATTTATAGAAAAAATGAGTTTACAACTGTTGGGGATAGATTGGAAGTGAGAATACCCGTTGAAGATTTAAAAAACTAACCGTTTGGAGCATTTCTAGCAAGACTTAATGGGTAATGGACCCAATCAAGTAAGTCGTTTTAATCTTTCAAATTTTTTGTTTGCTTGATAATAGTTTTTCTTTTATTTTCATTTGGGAAAACACAGATTTTAATTCTTCCTTTGATTTAACTAAGTGACATTGTCTATTATGTTTTTCTTTGATTGAAGTAATATTCATGTTTTACGACATCGAAATCATAATTGGTTTTTTCTTTGTTTGGTTCAATCCATTTGAATTAAAGAAGAGTATTACTTGATATTGTTTGTATGTATATAGAACTTCAAAGTCAAAGCTAGCATATTCCAAAACCCTTTTGGTATTTAGGCCTGTAGAGAATTACTGCAGGAATTTTTCTCTTAGGTCAAATAAACTTTAGGTCAAATAATTACAAGAAAAAATTAGTAATCTTCAAATTCATTGTATAATTCAAATTTGGATTTATACTTCATAAAATCTTTGATTGAATTCATGTCACTAGTTAAGATTTTAAAGCTTTTAAAATCAACTCGAGGAAGAACTAAGCTTTATCATCAACAATTACATCTTACTATCCTCTTTAATATACACTTGAAAAATAATTAGAATACTAAAAAAGTTGAATTTGAATTGCTTCGTCTTTAGGGATAAAAAAATTGAAATTCTTTAAAAATAATTTTATTTTTTATATAATCACTTTTCATAAGATTTTAGCAATACCATTTTTTATTTTCTTGATAAATTTTTGTTCACCTAGTTAAGTTCATTTATTTAAACCATTGAAAAACTACTTTGTTCCTCCCGGTTAGCTTATTTTTTTCCTCAAATTTTATATATCTATATATAGACATATATATATATTTAAATTTAGTATTCTTATTTATTTATTTCAAATTATTTTTATGATTTTTAATTTTTAGATTTAAAAATTTTAAATTAATTCGAGGCAAGCTATAAAATAAAATAGTTATATTCCCTCCATAAAGTAAAATGGTATATATTTAAAATGAATAAAAAAGATAATTTTGTTCAAAAAATTAATATGAAAAAAATAATTTTGTTATAACTTCAAAATAAAAAAAAAAATGTTTGATAATTTTTCATCCAAACCATAATTAGCAAACTTCAAGTTTTAAGGTATCATACCATGATTGACATTCCTCTAACTGTCAAAAGTTGTGTTTTGAGAGCCAAATTCATAGCGAAACAAAACCTTTGGATTGCAGATTTTTAGATTTTGAAAAAAAAAAAAAGTAAAAAATAATATTGGAAGAAAATGTATAATTTATAAATTTTATTAACTTTGAGAATATTAGTCTTTGTGTTTGGTTTAGAGAAATATAAAATTACTTAATAAATTTTTTTATTATATTATTATTGATAATACATGACATTTATAATGAATAATACGTGATATTCATAATAAGTTATACGTGAATAACACGATTCTTTGAAATTAAAGAATTTTAAAAATTAAATTTTGTCATATTTTTAATAAAGAAATTTTATAATGTTAATTATTATTTTAACGTTGATTATTATTATATAGAGATAATATGTGGATCAATCTTCATAATTAACGTGAGAGTTGGAAGTGGGTGGTAAATTCCACTTTGGAGGTTTTTAGAGGCACAAGCTCTCAAAATAAGTTTTATATGTAATAATATTAAGAAAAGATATTTTTAACATCTATTGTTTTTTCTTATCTTAAAAACATAGTATTTATTAAAATTATAAAATTTTGAAAATATAATTTCAACATCCATTATGTTTTAATCTTAAAAATGTGATTTTTGTATTACAAAATTTTGAAAATATGGTTTCAACATTCGTCGTGTTTTTATTTTAAAAATATAGTATTTATTAAATTTTCAAAATTTTAAAAGTATTATATCAACATCCATTGTGCCTTTTCATCTTCAAAATTTGGTATTTGTTAAAATTTCAAAATTTTGAAAATATAATTTCAACATTTATTATGTTTTTAATCGTAAAAATATGATATTTGTTAAATATAATTTCAACATTCATTATGTTTTTTATCTTAAAAAAATATTTGTTAAAATTTCATAATTTCGAAAATATCAACATCCATTTTGTTTTTATAGCTTAAACATAATCTTTATTAAAATTTCAAAATTTTAAAAATATAAATTCAACATCTATTACATTTTTTTATCTTAAAAATATAATATTTGTTGAAATTATAAATAACAAAAATCACATTTACTTTATAATTTTAAGAAACTAAAAAAGATAATATAATCCAAAAATGCAATTAAGTAAGGACAATGATGGTAAAATTTTTAATTTCTTTATGAAATCTAAAAAAATTAAAAAGATGAGAGTTTTTTTTTTTCTATTTTATTATTTTTTGATATTGTTGAAAATATTAGAAAATTTTATGAATTACATTTCATTAATTGAATTACAAAAAGTAAAATTTCAGTAAAAAATCTTACTTTTTTTTTCGAACTAAACGTTTTTTTAATATATTCAATAAATAAGTTAAAAATCAAAATATATATTTCAAATTTAAATTAATTATTCTTATTTGATTTGTAAAATTAAGAAAATAATATTCATTGTAATGATTTTATATTAATAATAGTTTTTTTTATAAAATTAAATTTCATCACTCTTTAATTATTTTAAAATCACTTATTTTATATTTCTAAACATTATATATTTTATTTGGCCAAAAAATATTATATATTTTAAATATTTTAAATTTCACAACAATTTTTTTAACAATAATACAGAATATTAAAAAATCTCAAGTGACAATTTTGTCTACACCTTTCAAATCCTTTTCCTTGAAAAGAAGGATTTTTTTTTTCAACTACAACAAAAAATATGAAAATTTTTACGGTCTCGTCGGTAGTTACCAGCGTGCCACTTTGATAAGTGATAAGATTATCTATTTACTAGTACAATTATGATGATTGGATGCTTTCCCATCGTAGATTTCCATTGTTACCGCATAACATTGCACAAATTCACTCTTCTACCCAGCATAAAGACCAGGTTAGTTCCAATGAATCAAGTTGAAAAGGTGCTACTCGAAATCCGTTTGACCAAAAATTGGAGTTTTCAAATTCAACTTGAACTTAGTAAGTTTATTTTTTATATTTAAATTTGATTTATAATTTAATTAAATCATTTAAATGGTATATATTACTTAAAATATAAATTAATAAAAATTATATAATTAAAATAATGGTCTCATCTTTGAACTAAATAGATAAAAAAAATCATTAATAATAATATTTATATAATTGATTAATTATAATTTATAATTATACAAAAAATCATTAAAATTTTATATAAAATTCATGTTTATAAACTCTTATATAAATTTTTATCGGTTTTAATAAAAAAATTTAAAGTTGAAATAATCTCAACAGCTAATCTTACTAAAATTTTTACCTTTTGTTTTTAGCCGCCACGTGGAACCGCGTACAACCTCTTTCTCCTTCTCTCTCTTCCGACGGTGTTTACCAGTCTCGCTGTCTCCCATTTAACCTTTTCTCTTTTCTCGTTCTTCTAATCAGCTCCTTTTCAGCTCGCTCCCATTTTTCTCGCCTAAAGTTTCCAGGAAAGTTGCGGAGAAAAGAGAATTTCGTTTTCCTTCTAAATTGATATTTTAGAAACCCTAGATTATTTTCGATTCTTTAGATGTTAGATGGATTTGGTTCCATATGCATCACTTAGCTCGATTCTTTAGTCATAGAAGCGACATGGACTTGAAGAGGAGCAGAAGAAAGCCGAGACTCGAACGCCGCAATGCAGCGAAGCACATCGACTACGATGCAGCGTTGTTTTCTTCGTCTCTCGATGATTCCTCTTTATCTTCTTCTCTAATCACACGATCGCTCGATTTATTCGATAAAACCAGCTTCCGTATCCAAGGAACCGACGGAGAGTTCGATCGAATTTGTCGGAGCTTGGGAGTAAGGCCTGAAGATTTTTCCATCCCAACCGCCGCTTGGGAGGCCCGTAAAATCCGATCGTCGTCGGATCTTGTGCCTCCGTCCAGATTAAACCGGTTGGATAGTCTTAAAGAAGAGACAGCACAGGTAAAAGACGACACTGAAGTAACAGTAGCTGAATTGTCTGATAGGTTTTTGGCTACTGGGTTGACTGGCGAGGACTCGGCTGAGTTAAATTTAAGCGAATGCTGCTTTTCTGATAGAAATGTGGTGGATGCTACTACTGCAACCGAGCCGACGTCAAACGCGTGTTGTGTTTCGTATGTTGCTGGTGGAGGAGGGAATAATGGAATTAAAGGGGCTAGGCCACCTTTTTTAAAGCCGCCGCCGGGGATGAGGCTACAGGTGATCGATAACGGTTGCTCCACTTGGGATTTATTTAGGGATTTCGCCCCCGAAGACGATAGAGGCTGTCTGATTCCGGTTCACTTGCATTCGTCTTCCGATGAAGAAGAAGATGAAAGAGAGGAGAGCGGGGGTAATGAGGAAAATGCTGAAGAGGAGAATTTAATGAGAATAGAAGAGACTGCGGTGCTTTCAGAGTCCTGTTCGTTTACGACTTCGAATGATGATGATTCTTCAAGTACTACAACGGAGCCTACGTCAAATATTTCCCCTAATGGTAGGTTCAAAAGGACAATTACCTATTGGGAGAAAGGTGAGCTTCTGGGGCGTGGATCATTTGGATCGGTTTTCGAAGGGATTTCTGAGTAAGTAATTTGATACTGCCTATAATATAACGCCCGACTTTATTTTTATGTTGATTAGATGCTTATAGGTAGTTTTTGTTCGAAGTTATTTTATCTTTTGATATGTGCAAATTATTTTGGGTACCGCCTTAATTCCACACAATCATAATATTGTCACTTGGGCCGGCATTTTTTTAGAGATTAAAAAGCTTCTTGGGTTACGAGGTGTTATTGGTGTTAGTTAAGCATCTAGAGAAAGCTCCTTTCTATTGCCCTTTAATTCTTTAGAGAGCACCATTTTACATGTTTGAGTTGAAGGATTAATGATGGTTGCACCTTAAGATTGTTAGATATCATATATATATAAAGTGAACTCCAATGATAACTACTTTTTGGACATCTTATGTTTTGCTGTCTCAAATATTAAGGGATTGACATATTTTAGCCCTTCGGACCATCTACCTTTAAGTGTTACTTGGTTTGCTGCTTGAAGTTTTGAATATTTGATAATTTTATATACCCATTTAGGCTTTTTTTTGTGGGCAAATTGTGGCTATTTAGGAACTACCGTCTCTATGCTGAGTAATGGCATAGAGAACTAAATACCTGAGTTAAGTCCATCTTTTACTTTTGCTTGGAAATAGATTTTGATTGTCAAATTCGGTCTAAGTTTTCAGTGATTCTATTTCATTAGGAACTGGTTCACTGGAGATATCTTGTTCTATATAGTAGATTTTAAGATGATGAATTTAGTTGTTTAGTGTCATTGAAGAGTTGAGAAATTTAAATTCAGGGAAGCAACATTGTACTAGGATCTTTGAGATACGAAGCTAAGCAGAGACTTTGGATTATCTAAGGTTCTAAGCTATGTGATGGCATTTTCTTGGAGTCATAGAAGGAATCATTGGTCATAAAATTTTTAAGAATAGCATAGGAAAGCCCATTTTATCGTAATAGCAATTAATTGGTTGTCCACTTGTCCACTAGATTATGTATTGCTTTATTTAGGAAAGAGATGTTTTTCTTCTAATCATGCGTTACTAATTATCCATTCATTTCCCAATAGCGACGGATTCTTTTTTGCCGTGAAGGAAGTTTCATTGCTTGATCAAGGAAGTCAGGGAAAGCAAAGTATTATCCAACTTGAACATGTGAGATGGATTTGGTCTTTTACTTCTTTAAATGTTCATTTTCTTTTGTGCTTATCATTTTTTTTTGTGAAATATCCATATTCTTCTTGTCTCTGTCTATTTAATTTCTTTATTTCCTTTCTTTTTCAGGAGATTGCTCTTTTAAGTCAGTTTGAGCATGAAAATATAGTTCAGTATTATGGCACAGATAAGGTACTGATTTCTGACATTTACCTTAATTAGTGGAATTGATTACTTTAGATATTCTTTGATTTTTAACAAAATTGAATATGGTAACCAATTAAACAAAAAAATTGTTTCTTTTGTTTTATTTATTTATTTTAAAGTATTTAGAACACTCAACACCCTATTGTCTGGCTACTTAATGCATTTAACTAATTTGTGATTCTATCTGTAACATTTTGGCCTCCTCTCTCCTATGTTTTTTTTTTCCTTCATCAAAATAGATATTAAACAAAAAATTGTCAATATAGCCATTTGTGGTGTATTTTTTTTTTTCACCTAAGCAGGATTTTTTTAAAAAAATTAAAATTGACAAATGTGCACTTCCACAGAAATTTTTAATGGGAAAAAGAAAACATGGCATATCCTGGGACAGAGTTGAAATTTGCCAAAACATGTGTGTTAAAATATAGCAAGCTTAATTTCAGGTGGGCTTTGCATGGTTTTGTCCTCTGAGTCATCTGTACCTGTTGAAAGGTTCTTTTGCTTGTGGCTGTTTGAGGCTATTTTGCTTTGCTAATCTTCAAGTGTAACTGGCTTACTGGGCTACGATGTTAGACCTCACTCAGTTTATTCTTGCATTATTAAAAAGGCCTTAATGCCAAAGTATATGTTTAATGTAGCCTTTTCTTGTTCAGCCATATAGAGCTGGTTGAGAAAAAAAATTCTCATTGCAATGCCAAATATTGAATAAGTGTTGATGCATGTAAATCCCTACATTTATGTGTGCATTTTGGAGCATTATCATGCTAGTGATCATAAGTGGGGTTGTGGAATACCTTGGCTTAATAGGATGACCTTTAGTTTAATTGCCTAATTTTTACCTTACGATTTTATGGTCTTTGCAGGATGAATCAAAATTATACATCTTTCTTGAGCTTGTAACCAAAGGCTCCCTTTTAAATCTATATCAGAGGTATCATCTCAGAGATTCTCAAGTCTCTGCATATACTAGACAGATTCTGCATGGATTGAAGTATCTCCATGACCGAAATGTGGTTCACAGGTAAGTCAAGAGACCTTTTGTGCTGCTTCTCATTATTTACATGCTACTTAAAATTTTTGCTTGTTTACATCTGAAATTTTATTCATACTTTAGTTATATGTGCTTGGCAGTTGGCAGTTGGCTGTTGGCACGAACTTATATTTGCCAACTGCAAATTGCTTCATATGAAAGATATACCCTTTTAATGTAACAAGTAAATATTGCTTTACTTAACCGGTGGAAGTTTGGATTCCTTATCTTTTTTGTGATATGCTATGGTGAAACATAATCTGTATGTATATATAATATTCCTTCTCAGAGGACATTTTAAAGTCAAGAATGTGATTTACTTTGATAATAGAAGCTTTTCTCAAACTTTTGTTATTATTTTGTATTTATTTTTACCTTAAGGTTGGATGCCTGCTTGATCTCTGTTCTCTTCCCTGATTTGATTCTTGTTGTAGTTTTGACATGGAAAGTAAAATTGTTTGTTCTATCTTATACCTAAGTTTGTACACACTTGAATTTAATCTCTCGAGGCGCATCTCCTTGTTTGTTGATACAGGGATATTAAGTGTTCAAACATATTGGTGGATGCAAGTGGATCAGTGAAACTTGCAGATTTTGGGTTGGCAAAGGTTTTTTCAATCCAAAGACTTTGATTTTCTTTTTTTTTTAGTAGCTTCTAAGATGATCATATTAATGATATTGTTTGTTTTCAGGCAACCAAGTTGAATGACGTTAAATCGTGCAAAGGGACGGCATTCTGGATGGCCCCTGAGGTTTGCCTCTATTCTTTCCTTTCAAAAGTGATATTCTGTAGTAACTGTTGTTTGATGCATGTAGAGTATCAATTTCTTCCGTCTTAGAGATACTACTCGAGATATCTAGTGGCTTATAGGAATACTCAATAATGACTATGGTGGCAAAAGAAATAATGGCGTTAGTTCATAAAAAATATTTCTCTTCTATATTAGAGATACTGCTGGACGTACTTAGCTTATCGGAATACTTGATCATGACTATGGTAACAAAGGAAATGATGACATTCATTTGTGGCGAATATTTCTCTATACTGGACAAAATGGTGTAAATCCCTCTTGCTGATCCACCATAATTTCCTGATGCTTCATTTGTTTGAATAAGATTTAATATCATGAGGCAGCTAGATTTCATTGCCTGAATCTTAACATTTAGCTTATTATGAATAAATCTTTTTTTTTAAATCTTTTTAGCCACCAGTAATTTCCTAACAAAGTTGTATTTGATTAGATAATTTTCCTGGACTGATAGTTGCTAATGTTTGATGATGGCACTTCTCCCTTTCTGAAATGCTGCTGGCCCTTTTCTAGATCATACCCGAATGATGTGTTCAGTTCCTAGTTAGATGGGTTACAGTGCTTTTTCTCTAGAGACATTGTCTTTGCCACAGTAGTTGCTATCTACTTTGTGACACAGACTACCAATAACTTTTAGTCTTCCAGAATTCTGATTATCAGCTGTTGAATTACAGGTTGTCAACCGGAAGGGTCAAGGGTATGGACTTCCTGCTGATATATGGAGCCTTGGTTGTACTGTGTTGGAAATGTTAACCCGTCAGATTCCGTACCATCATTTGGAATGTGTACGTACCTCTTGTTCTTGATACAAGCATTACCTGTCTTGATAATTAAGTGATTCTATATAAAAGTAAAAAGAAAAAAAAAACAGATATTAAGAAAATTTTGTATGTTGTCATTACCAAATCACAAAATGGCTTATAGAGTTTTAAAGCATGAAATTGGGTTTCCAATGTGTAGCATTGATTGATTAAGTGTGTGTAGTAGGATGTCAGGTATTAAATGTCCGGAAAAAAGCAAGTTGGAAGAGGAGGTGGAGGGGAGGGAAGTGGAGGGTTGTTCCAGTTTGTTTCATATAATTTCCTCTTCTACAAGAAGTTGCTTGTTGTTCTTTTCATATGAATTCTATTTTTGCACTGATGCTGGAGAGCTATGAAAAAGGGTTATTGTTGAGTTAAAATTTTGATAATCTCCTTTTTCATTCAATTGTAACATAGCATGAATATTGTTCTGTTGTTAATGATATTTTGTGTAACTTGAAACAGATGCAAGCATTGTTTAGAATTGGGAGGGGTGAGCCACCACCGGTTCCTGATTCTTTGTCAAAAGATGCACGATATTTTATCATGCAATGCATACAAGTCAATCCAGATGCTCGGCCAACTGCTGCAAAACTGTTGCAGCATCCATTTGTGAAGAGGCCTCTTCCAACGCATTCAGGCTCAGCATCTCCTCAACTTGGCCGGCGGTTTTGAATGTTTAACCTTGAAACTAAATTTTGCTGCAAAGTACTGAGGTAAACATTTTCATCTTATCATATGTTTGTATCTCCTTGTTGAGCATACTGCCCTTTGCAAGTGAAACTAGTGTTCTTCTTTGATCAGAAGAAATATTGTCCTGGAATCTGCCATTGTCACATGATATCAGCTTTGAGATTCTAAGATGCCTGAAATATTCCGTAACAATGGGTATATTGATTCTTGTACAACATGCCTTACCTAAAAATTTAGCATGGGAATTGGGCCTTTTATATCTTATTAGTGTCTGAAAGTAGAAAAATGGACTTTCGCAGATTCTGGTTGATTTTGATTTTTACATGCAGATGTTTTTGCTCTTGGATGCAGCTTCGTCCATCATGATGAACACAAGTTTGCCTCCTCAAGCTCTAATTCTGTTCACCTTTAGTTTTGTCCCTAAAGACTCAAGAGTCTGAACATTGGTAGGCTAAAACAATTGAGGCATTATGGCCTAATGGACTCGCCGGTTGCCAAAGATCTAAATCTACAGAGCAGAACAGCTCTTAAATTATCTGATGTCATTTTGTCTGTTCTGGAATTTGATTTAGCAAACGGTTTTTTTTTTTTTTGGGTGAAAAATTGTTAGGGCAAGCTGTTAGGAGATATTGTTGTAACAATTAGAAAGGATACACTCTTTTTTGTAAATATGTATCTCATTACTGATGCAAAGGAATAGTAGTTTGTTTGTGTACAAGGTCAACTTGTCTCTTGTGGCTTGCTTTTCTTTTCAAAACTCTCCCTCCCCTCGTCAGAAAAGAACTTCATCACGTTATTCTTTCAGGGTTGAAAAGCCAACTGGAGGCGCAGTGGGCCAGACTAGAGGCGGCGTAAGACTCCTTTGAGGGAGACGCCGTCTGAAAGTTTCAGATTCTGAACCTAAAGAAAACGAGGGACGTAACAATAATTTTATTTGGTTGACAAACAGCCTGTGGTCAAACACTCATGCTTAATTAATAAATAAATTCACCAATGAGCCTGACCAGTCAAGAAACTTTCAATTTTGAAAAAAAAAATCACATAATCCGGAAATTCTCGCATTTTGAAAGTCGGTTTAAAGCCAGGTTAAACGAACTTTGAGCAATCATAATCATGTGGTTTATTATTTAACCATTTTTTGGGAGTCCAGTCTTCAATCGAGTTCCATTTCTTTTACGTAATCTTTTCTTTTTAATAAAGCAGCACGAGATATTTTGCAGCCTCATGAACTTATCAACCATATAAAATAACATATAAAAGACTAGTAAGCATGAACATTAATTTTTCTCATGATATTTGATTGAACTTTGATCCGTTAAGTCTAATTAAATTTTGAATCAGTTGTCGTATTATTAAAATTAATATTTAAAAGTTATAAATTCAAAAAAATTTATTTCAATAATATTTTTTTAATCAGGTAAATAATATGATATGTGGCATAAAAATAAACTAATAATTTATCTTCAAATATTTAAGTTAATGATTAAATACGTTTGAGGGAATATCAAGAATTTGATTTCGAACTAAGCTTTTCATATTTTCCTTATTTGTATTAGTGCTTTACCTTACTTGTACTATAGCTTTACTAACAAAAAAAAACTTAAAAAAAAAACCTTGATTAATAAAATTAAACGTTTAGGTATTTTACTAGAAAAATTAATTAATAAAATTAAAAATCTTAAACATTTTGTTGATGAAGCAAATGACTGTTATAAAATTATTGTTAGTCAATTTAGAAAAAAAATATTATATTAATTTCATTGGATAATAAGATGGCAAATATTTCAATATAATAACAATAAAATAATTAAAAAAATCAGAACATATAATAATCTATTAACTTTCCTTCTAAAATTAAAAAAATTCTATTATGTATGAACTAAAAAAGCATTGAAAACTTTTATTAATTTTGGATGGGCTTTAATTTTGGGCCTTAATTTCAGCCCACAAAATTAATATCCGAATTGGATGAAAATATCGACATAATGGCGATAGAGATCGACAACCCAACGACAAGCCAATCAGTGATAGAGACAAAAAGGACCGAGTGACAGGGTGAGTGAAAAAAAAAAAAAGAGAGAGAGAGAGAAACTGAGAGGGGTAAAGACGTAAAGTAAAACCTGCTCTCCTCTCCACGGCGGTGGTAGCAGCAGCGGTAGCGGAAACAACCACGCTCCTACGGAAACGCTAAACCAATCTCACTCCCCTGCGAAGATCGGCTTCCTTCCTTTCGCCTCGCCCAATCTTTAACCTCCCCTATTCTCTCCCTTCCCCCAACAAACTCTCTTATTTTTTCCCACTTGTTCAAAGTTTCAAATCGGCAGTCACATATCCAGGTAAGCTAGATTAGGATTCCCCTTTCGATCTCCACCGTTGATCTCCTCCGCATTCATTTTATTTGATTATCAATTCCGTTTTCTCTATTTCGATTTCATTGCTTTTCAAAAATGCTGCAATTTGATCTTCAGTGTTCTGATAGCGCTTTAATGTTTCGAATGTTTTAGCCTAGGGTTTTAAACTATGTTTCCTTTCACTACTCTTTTTTTTTTGTTTATATATAATTTAATTATCTTTCCCACTCTTTTTTTACCCCTTTAATTGTGCCTCTGATAAGAAATTTTGCCTTTTTTTTTATATCTTTCCTTCTTTTTTAGCATTAATGCGAAAATATTAATGGTTAATTAGTGTCATAACTATTGAATCTTTGACGTTTTTCATTGTCATTTCCCTTTTATGAATATTTCTGCACTTTTCCTTATTTGCTTTTCTTTTCTTTGTTAAATTTTATTTATGTAAATGATTCAAATAATGGATCGGAATTTTACAAACCAAACGTGAGACTCTGTTCCATTAATATTGGCTGATAATAAAGCATTTATTTGATAATTTTAATCGTTATTGGAGGAAAATCAAAAACAAATTATTGCTTTCAACAATATAAGAGTTGCATTTTAGTTTTTCAAGGACTAATGTGAAACAATTGGACAAGTTCTTGCTCTTATAGTTCAAAGGATAGGTTTTACACTTGAAACGATCATTTGCCGGTGCTAAACAGTTTATTTTTCTATATTTTTCGCTAAAAGTATAAGCAACAGTAGAAAAGCGCAACCTTGCATGAATACATGTTCCTCTATATTTCGCTTTTAGGCTATGTTTTTGCCAAGCATGGTCTATAGATGTGGTAAGAGTATGGTGTACAGTTTTAATTCCATTATTCAGAGTATGTCACCCTCTTTTTTCTCTTATATCTTTATTTTTCTGTCTGGTCAATAGGATGATGGAAATGGTGCGTATTTTAAAGCTCATTTGAATCTTTTCCTTTGTCTCCTACTATCTTGATTGTAATGTAAGACCAATCATTTGCGTGGAAATGATTTGTGATTTTCAGAAAAGCCTTTTTATTTAGTACTTAAGCTGTGATTTATTAGTAATTCTGGAATAGTTAATTTCTCCGTTAGCACTGTTGCTTTCCTTACAAGCTAAAATACTTTATAATAAACACAGTGGACCAAGTCCGTTTGCTTAGTCCCCTACTCCCTTCCTCTGACCAACAAGTTTGGGCTTTGCATTTTTTTTTTATAACTTTGCAGTTAAATCATTTTAAAAACATGTTCTATTTATTTTAGGGCTTGATTCAGAAATTGACTTATTTTATACTACTTTGTTTGAAAAATTTTTAAAATAAAGGAACGTTCAAAAGTTATGGGTGCTGGTAAAATTTTATAGATTGAATTAAATGGTTAGTCAATGAGCAGGCTTTCTACTATTAGAGTTGTTTCGTGTTATGTTGGTTCTTTTGGTTAAACTTGTCCTAAAACTTATACAAGCTTCATCTTAATTCTAATTGTGCTTTACATCATGGTCAATATTTGTCCTTAGAAGTTGGATTTCAAAAAGTTTTGAATATAATTTGATCATGGTTTCCAGATTTTTTTTAAAAGGTGCTATGCAGGTAAAATATGTACTTGTAACCAATAATTCTTTGGTGTTTTTGATGGATCCTTACCAAGTGGTCAAGGCTTCAAACGAGTGGACACTTTTCTTGATCTGGTGGCTGCCATCCAATACATTCTATGGGGTGGGTTAGGATAGCCTGGGTTGTAGGGCAAGGTAAGAGTGCTAACTGTGTAATTGATAAGAGAAAGGAAAGTGGTGATGAATTTAAAACCGTTATGCCACTTTCCTATTTTGTTTGGCACCATGTTACACTCATGTCAACTATGCCCCATTTTCTAGTTTCAATGGGCAAGGGTATTTCCTGCTTTGAAACAGTTTTCTGGATGAGTCTTGCACTGAATATTCTTAGTTGTAGTGATGATTTTTGACTGAACTTATTGTTTGATTTAATAGCTTTAGTAAATTCCTGTTCTCTCATTTCTTACTTTCTTTTTCTTTGAAAGGCAAAAAGATTTTTATTAAAGGGAGATAAATGCAAAAGATCATACAATCAAGTATAGGGAAATGATCATTAAGCAACCCATAACCCAAAACAATAACCTGAATAGTTAGCTCACTTCTTTTATATATTTGCCTCATTATGTTTTGTGAAGATTCGTTTATCTCTTGCAAATTATAGAGAAGGTAATTTAGTTACACAAATAAATCAGCCCTCGTATTAAAGTTTCTTGAGTGTTTTATGGGCCTTGTTAGTGGAAGCATTATTAATAATTTCAAGCATTATCCATCATTCACCAACATCAAGAATCGGATCTTCGATATCCTTTTTACTTTGGATACCCCACTTAATTGATTCTCTTAGTATTGGCATTTTGGTGTATCTTGTATAAGAACAGGTTCTCAGAAATGAGGACACTGTTAATGTTGTCAACTAGCCTAGAAGATTTCCTGCATGAATTTTTGTCTTCTCGTGTTAGAAGTTGTTTGTTTGTTATCAGCTATGATTCCAGATATTGTTTTATCTGAATGTTGTTAATTGGGCTCAGGATATGCTTTAATTGCAGATGGTGCATTACATATTCTGCATTGATTAGAGATTTACTGTTACTTGAAAGAGTGTACAGTTTCAGCTTTTAGGTAACAAGAACCTTACCTATGCTAGTCTCAAAAGTAAGAATAACATTAAATAAAAAAAAAGTAAGAATAACATGCATGCTTGAACAATACTTCAACTTCTTTAGTATGATCAGTCAACGGGTCTATTAATATTTTTAGATGTTTATTGGTTTTTAATTTCAGCATTGGATTCCATTCTTTATTGCCTTAGAAGTGGGAGTTCTTTAGTATGTTAGGTGTCCTAGACTTTATCCCCATTTTTAACTCAAAGCAGAGAACATAGTTAATTGTTATTCTACACATTTTCAAGTCTATGCATTAAAGGGATTACACTGCATTTTGATATATCCGGCAATCTTCAAAGCTGTGTAATGCATTGAAAATTCTTTTAATAGGCTCTCCCATCAGAAAATATGAAATATGAAAGTTTTTATCTTGTGTAAAGTGCAAGGCATATATTAATCTAGTTTATGTTTTACCAAAATTTGTATTGTTATCTGATCTCTCTCTCTCTCTCCTGCTTTAGGTTTGAATTGCAATTGGCCAAAGTTAGCAAAGTGCGAAAGTCTGATTCTCATCATAAAAGGATGAATCCTTATCTTTTGCCATCTTACCGTAAGAAGGCTGGCAAAGGCTCGCTGAAGAAAAAAGGTTCCAAGGCTTTAGAGGAGAAAGATTGGGAAGCTGTAAAATGTTCGGTTTGTCTGGAGTTCCCGCACAATTCTGTTCTCCTCCTTTGTTCGTCTTATGATAAGGGTTGCCGCCCTTACATGTATGCTACTAGCTGTCGCTTTTCCAATTGTCTTGAGCAATACAAGAAAGCCTACACTAAAATAACTTCAGTCAACAATGCGTTGGTGGATAATTCAATTCTTATTTCAGGTGTAGGGGGCAGTCAACTGAAGTGATGGAAGTCCCAGAGCTTCTATGCCCACTCTGTCTGGGGCAAGTGAAGGGTTGGACGGTGGTGGAACCTGTACGGAAATATCTCAATGGGAAAAAGAGGGCCTGCATGCAGGACAAGTGCTCGTTTGTTGGAACTTACAAAGATCTCAAGAAACATGTTAGAGCAAAGCATCCATTGGCATGACCGGGAGCAATG